CCCCACCCCCCCCTAGTTTGGTCTCGTCACGCGAGTCGAAAAAGGACGCGACAAATAATCATACATCGTTGCGGACCAAAATTTTTTGTAACTCAATAAGCACAGTGATACATATGCACATCAGGTTTTATCGATTACCTCCATATTTCAATCCACCCATGCATGAGTAAGTACTTGGAGGACCCCATTGATCTGCCATTGAGGGAAATTTGTGAGTTGTCGTTTTATCGCCCGTCATTTACATTTACGGGTACGTATACACTTTCATTTCCGTATCTCTGTATTATTTATTCATGCCTGAAGGTTCGGCAATTTCATTACAACTGGGGTGGTACTTATGTGTACATAAATATATTATATATGCTATAGAGAAAAAAGGGATAATGTCACGCGCCATTGTCTCAATTGTGTATAGGAGGTATCATTCGTCTCTCGTCTGTACACCGATACGCGGACACGTGATCCGAATAAGTATTTCGAAACAATACAACTAGATCTCTTGTAAAAACAAATTTGGGCGCGTGTGTTTTTTTCCGCTGTACCACTGTATGTACATATCGCTGGCGGCTCGTGACTTTTTTTTTAATTTCCTTATTTGTTTTGATTCTGTTGAGTGTAATTATGTTATAATGTGTTCACGATGTGTCCCCAAGAAGAAAAATAAAAAATAAACTAACAAAATGGATTATGTCAATGTTTGCTTAGCTGAACGTCTGACGCGATAGTTGCTCTTTAAAGTTAGGTTTGTCCCAATTGGATACGTTACGTGCTCCTTGTAAGTGGTACAGGTGAAAACACAGTTTTGTTGGATCGGTTACTGCAATTAGTTGTCGAAATTGCGGCCAAATTTGTTTCCTTACTTTTAAGCCTGTGCTCTGCACCCTTGGGTTAAAAAAGTTTTTTTTTTTTTTTCTTCCTTTCGCTTGTACAATATGATGAAATAACAGCTAGTGTACTTATACAAAAATTCATCGTTTACCTGCATGGAGGATAAAACCATACGTGTAATTGAAAGAAGAAAAGGAAGGAAAAACAAGCCAAAGACATATTAAGATTTCATAATTTTCTACAAGCTGGTATATTTATGTACTTGAGTCTCATTTTATTATTTTTCTCGCTATACAGCATCCCGGTGGTAGGGAGCTCATAGATGAGTACGCGGGCGCCGACGCGACCGAGGGCTTCGACGACTACGGCCACTCGAGCGACGCCAAGAGGATCCTGAAAAAGCACGAGATCGGCACTCTCGTCGAGGTCCGTATATTGATACCATTAAATTTTCTCCCTCTCGTTTTTCTAAATTACAATGACGATGATGATGTCGCTCTCGTTAATCGCAGTCGTCAAATGAAAACAACGCGATGGCCAACGTCACTTGCGCCGGTCGCGCAAGCGGTGATGCCATCACCACTGCCACCGACAGTCGACCCAATAAACGGCGCAGGTACACAGTTATGCTATAAAATTTTCGTTTCGATTTAACAATCTGCAAACTTTCAACTGATAAACGTATGATACCCGTGCACACTGTAAAGTCCAAAAGTGCTTAAGTACATTTTTAAAGGCGTGGTATTGCTGTTTCGTTTTTTTTTTTTCTTACAAAACGCATTGTAATAGTCTCGATGAACTTTTTCAATGAAAACAAATCGATGCTTCGTAAACCATTGCACCTATTCCGTTAAACTAAACGATTTTTTTTTTCCATCAACGACCGTTACATAATTAAGGAGGCTGTAGAGAGCAAACCATTTCTTTCAGCCGAGTTTTTTCACTTTACAGCTTTTCTACATTTATTTTTCCCCATTCGAAACTGTCCAATTTAATTGAACTGTTCTTCGAATTCTAATCCGCGCCACCACGATGTATCTTATAAAATACGAAAATTTCAACCCGTCACGCTTTAACACGCTTGGATTTACAGTGTGCCTATAAGCATATATACTTGAAACAATAATAATAATAATAATAATAATAGTAAACGATAAGTAGTCGAAAACATTTTCCATCATCGCGTACGTATATCGATGACTCGGCGGGGAAAGGTGCAGATGGGTATAATTTTCCGAAGACTGTAAACTTTATATCCGGCGAGGCATCGATGCACGCTTCGTTCCCAAAAATGGCGCGAACAAACATGTAATGTGTTGTTGTTTTTTTTTGCTCGTCCACTCGCAGGAATATCCTGAGCGCCATACTCGGGCCTTGCTCCACGAGACGGTAACATGTACAACGCAGAGCACCAAGACAGAGCGGATGAAAAAAAAAAAAAAAAAGGCACCACCCAGTCCGAGTACGGCAAGTTGTTGGCTAGTGGGGCGTGGATGGCGCTCATATCCAGCCGCCGACGATTTGACCGGTGGCCTTGGACCGGCCCCTCTGCTTGGTCGTGGAGGGCGCGTCATCGTGGACGGGCGCAGGTGCCGCCGGAGCAGCCTTCTTGTCCTCCTTGGGGGCCGGGGGTGCGGCGCCCGAGGGTTGCTTCTTGACGACGGAGGGTTTCTTCTTGAGGGAGGCTGGTTTGGGGTCCGCCGGTGGGGCCTTTTGTTCCCCGGCGGGGGGCTCCTCGGGTATGGGCGAGGGCGAGCGCGCCTCCGTGGAGGGCTTGGAGTCGAGGGTCGGCTTGGCGGTGGTGGCCGGCTTGTCTTGGCTCGACGTCTTGCTCATCGACCTCATGGCCATCGCGCTCAGGGCCCGGCTCGGCCCGGCCGGCTTGCCATCCTCCGTCTTTGCCGGCTCGGCGATCGTCACTCGCTGGCTCTGCCGGGTCGACTGACCGCCTTCGGCTGGATTCAATCATTTTCACGCGTGTAAATACCACTTTGAGGATTTTTAATGAAATATATTCAACCCGCTTGTGCAAATAATAATCATTTTTACATGCTATGTTCTATATGTATGGCTCATTATTCTCTTACCCCTTAACTGAGATTTTTTTTTTTAATTCAATTTACATGTATTTTATCCAAGTTACGTGATTTTATTGAAAACCTATGTTCATTTCAATGGAATTTAAAAAAAAAAAAAAATTTAAAGAGCGTTACGATACTTTTTTTGCGATTGTGAAGCCCCAAGTTGCAATTGTTTGCCACAATTGCCCCCCAGTCCCCATTCGTATACTACAATCAATTAGTCAATTATTTCAAATCCCATCGAAATTAGGGGCGTTACGTTAATGACTGCTTATTTTACTGGGAAAAATGCTGTGTACTCGCGACGATACTACAAATAGCAAAATGAAAATTTGGGGCTGCAAAAATATTGACAATCTTTTGGTACACTCCGAAATACAAAACGATAAATTTCCAGTATTCAAAGATTAACTGCTTGGCCCAATTAAATCATTTATGTGGCGTGATTGAAAAGTGTCAAAAGTAGGCTTGACGAATGAAAAGTTAATTCCGTACTGGAAAAAAAAAATTTCATATTTAAACTGCAAGAAAAAGTGCATATTGTTTAAACGTTGAAATAGTAGGTACGTGGTAAAAAATAAAAAATAAAAAATAAAAAATGAACGTCCAGACACCAGAAGCCGCAAAAAATGAAATTTTTGAATGCTTCGCGTAGAGGCAATGACCTTATGGCCAGTTATTTCAATTGAACGGCCAGGCCAACAAATGTTTCGACTCAGTCTCAAAAACGTATTTAGGAAGAATTGGTTGGCACCGTGTGAAAAAAAAGTTCCGACACGAGACAAACAATTAAACTCCGTCGTTTTCGTGAAACGGCCCATCCACGTTACCTGGGGCAGCATCCCCGGTGGCTTCCTTGGGCGGGGGCCGCCTAAGCATGAACTTGGCGTAGGCGATTTTGGTGGTGTTGGACACCTCGGAGAGGTTCGGATTGTACTCGACGAGTTTGGCGGGATCGAGGGACTCGAGGGCCGAGTTGCCCTGGTGCTGCAGGTGCCGGCGCAAACTGCGCCTGTGCTGCCGGTCCACCTGCTCGTTGGTGCTGCCTATCGGGTCCCCGGGTATCGTGTTTTGCCGCACTACCGCGTTCCAGTCCTTCTTCTTGCTCCCACCGCTCGCCCGCCTACCGATCGCCTTCGCTATCTGGCTGAACACGTCCTTCGAGCCCTGCTCTCCCTCGCGGATCACCTGGTTCACCAGACCCTCCACGAACCCGATCTGGAAGTCCTTCTGCAGCCGGCGCTCCATCACTCGGCCCTTCTTCCCCGACACTACGCAAATCTTACATCTTACACCTTCATCCCCGCGTTTTTTTCACAATCATCATATATTGTAGGGTCATTACGCGCTCCGTCCTGCTTGTCGTCTACGTCCGGGGTCTTGAAGTTGTTCTGCTTGAATATGTCGATCAGCTCGTACCTCAGGGTCGATATGTCCTGCCTGATCTCCATGACGTCGTCCTCGGTTATGCTGAAGTCGTTGGTCTTGCTCTGCTCGGTGGTCACGTACCGGCGAATCAGCAGCCGCATCACCGTGTCGTGGCGCTCTTTGGCCTTGTCCCGGGACTTTTTCTACAAACAAAAAATCGACCCCCACCCCACCCCAACTGTCAGCTTTTCTCCCCCCTGTAATATGTGTATTATGGCAAAAAAAGGACTTTTGACTTACGATGACCGATCGCGTGGGCTTGCCGGACTTGCCGCACTTCATCAGCCGATCGAAGGTCTTGGTGGTCGGTATCATGTTGAAGGGCGGCGGTACCGTGTCGCCGTCCTCGAAGTAGCTCATCCAGAGGTGGCTGCGTGCAAACTTCCACTCGGTGTCTGCTCGTTCCTGCACATTTTTTGGGTAAGGGGGGGATTAATTTCTCTTTTTTTTTTTTTTTTTTTATTTCTGATCAAGTTCATATTCACCGCGTAACCAAGCCGCCACTATCCCAACTATGGATGTTTTTTTTTTTTTTTTTTTTCGTTTTCCCCTGTATGCGAAACACTCACCGAGATGATCTGGTACGAGTTGGACATCATGGCGATGAGCATGTTCAGGAGGACGATGATGTTGATGACGGAGTACGAGCCGAACATGAGGAGGGCCCAGAAGCGCGTGAAGCTCTTGATGCCCGTCAGGTCGAAGGACATGAGGTCGACCATGCCGAAGCTCGCCCAGAACAGCGATTGCGACGTCTCGAACAGACTGAAACGAGGGCGCGTTTTTTTTATTATTTTTTTTTTTTATTATTTATTTATTTATTTATTTATTTATTTTTTTAGTTGACGCACTTTGCGAATCGCCTCCAAGTCGAGCAGGCCTTTTCGTTGTTGTCAAAGTCCGGCAAGCCGCTCGGCAAGTGGTAGCACTTTTGCTTCTCGAGATCGGCGTAGAACCACAGCAGCTGATTCATACCTACGCGTGTTAACGGCAAAACCCGAGGGAAAACTTAATTAGCTAATAATTAATTATCAACGATACAAACCGCTAATAGAAAATGATTAAGTACACGCATCAGACGGAGAAGATAATTTAATAACTGTTAATTATCGCTAGTTATTTTTTGTGGGTGTGTGTTTTTAAAGGCTAAAAAAAGAAAAAAGAAAAAATTGACAACAACAGTTATAAATTACAACCAATTGAAACTTATCGTTTGCAAAAAATGTATGGTTTATAATTAATTGTTTTATAACTTTCGAGCAACTAATAACAGTTTTTCGATTTTTCGATACATGAAAAAAAAAAAAAAAAAAAAAAAACAAAACAAAAAATCATGTATCCGCACCACTGCCCTGTAAACGTGTTTCCTCGCACGAGTTGTCGTTTTGCCATTAGCCGTGGTTTTGTTAATTTTATTGGTTTATTTACAAAATGCATCCAAAATAATAAGTCCACGTGGTGGCTGCCATGTCTCTTGCAGTCGTTGTTATTTATTCATACAAAACATTATATTTGCACCAGAACGCGTACACAATAAACAAGGTTCAAGGATTCGTCGCTCCTAGGAATTACTCGCCGTTCCAAGTGATCCAAGGAAAATTCCAGACCCGAAGTAAGTGCGACAACCACTCCATTAAGGTGGTTCTTTCATGAATTGTTTATGAACAGAATGGTATGAAACCTTGGGGAATCATTTATTGAGTTACAATACACTACCTCTCAAAATTTTAGAATATAGAATAACGAATATAAACGCAAGAAAATGATAAATGAAAAGCAAATTCTGAACGTGTGCTCTTATGGCAACTAAGCATTTTTGTACCGAAAGTTGTAGCCTAGTTGTTTATTTGCTGAACATATAATCAAGTGAAAAACTGACACAACAAAATAAACATACTGCCATTTCGAAGTGTATATGTTTACAGACTTAATCAAAAGATATTAAAAGAAACACAAATCACACAGATTTTCGTGTCCTATATCGGATATCATGATGTACAATATCGAATCAGTACTCAATTTGACTTAATAAATAATATTAACAAACAATCGTTTAAAATTTAAGCAGTATTGATAACTATCAAGTTGATGTAGTCGCATCTTTGACTCGGGAGTCATGAAAAAACCACCTAAATGTTGCACTCCTGATATACAATACCATACCTGCGTACACGTTGTACGTGCGACCGCGAGAATCTCTTACACATTGACAATCGGCGTAAAAAGTAGGCTACGGCATGGTATATCATCAATATAGAGACAAATAAATAACATATATATATGGTACAGTTTAAATTATACACAAATTACACACAGGCAGTGCCGTTGCTCGATTCGGACGTTAGCAGCGAACGCGCGATGCGTAAAAAAAAAAAAAAAATACAAACCACATCTGTACACGCGCGACGCGGTCGGTCGCCGGTATATACGACGCGTGCTCGTGTGCGTATACGAACCTATAATTGGGTCGCGCTTCTTCCGCGACGCCTCACGCGAGAATGGAAAGGTCCTTGTTTCCCTCGATGACATGTTATATTCAAAGTCGGGAAAAAAAAGGAAGGAAAGGAAAAAAAAAAAAAAAAAAAAAAAATAGCCTAAGAAGCTAACCGGCCGGTGGATCGCCGGGAAAAGTGTCCAAAGTAAGGTCCCGGTGGTAGGGCGTTGACACTGTCGGGCAGTCCTTGGTGGTTATACCCTGGGGCTTCGATGGGCAGCTCGAGCTGGTGGACGCTGCGCTCGTGCCAGGGCTCCGGGACGCCGGTGTGGTACAGCCCGTAGTTGATGCCGCTCTGGGCGATCCGCTTGAGGCCCTGGATGCTCGACATCATGAGGGCCATTTTCGCGAGTATGAGCGCCTTGCCGCCCAACACGGCCAGAAATTGAAAGGCCATGGGCGTCAGGACGCTGCCCATCAGGATCATCCCCATCATGACGATCGGCAGCATGCTCATTTGGTGCTTGCGACGACGCCGGCCTGCGGATTAATCACACGTGGGTGTGTATGTTCTGGCTTATTTGCGGATCAATGAGTCACTCGGGGATTCACGCGATCAGTGGTATGTAACCGGTTTCCAAGATAATGAACAGTTTAATTGCGACACTGGAAACGATTTTACGTTCACCGACTTGCAATTGAAAAACATGCCCGTCGTTGAGCTTGACTTTAATTCCGAAAATTAACCAAAGATACCGACAGAGTTGCACCCGGTAAGTTCAAAGTTCGTACTTCTTACAAAGAAGAGGAAGAAGAGCAGGGGGGTATAGGATTTCAAATTTACCTCTAGCCTCGACCTGATCGGGTGCCGATTTTTCACGCAACCGATCGACGTCGATCCTTATTACGTGGGTTCTGAATACGCGTGCCAGCCGACTGACCACCTTTTCCCGCCAGCTGCCATCCTCACCTCCATCGTGCGTCCGCTCCAATGATTTTCTGCAAACAAAATGAAAACGCTCCGTTTATTTGGATTTTTTTTTTTTAATGCCTAATGGACAATTTTCAACTGATGCGTGCAACTCGATCTTTTATCGTTGGTGCTATCGTGTGGTTGTGTAATTTTAACAACACACTTTTCACCGGATTTAGCTAGCAAACAAGGAAATAAATTACAAAGCTCGAGCATTCGCGGAGCAATGAAATCATTTACGATTTGTTTTATTTTCACTCGATGATTCTTGCGTGTCATCTACTGCAATAACTTTCCGTACCGACGAATCGACGCGTTTTCCTTCGAACAGCACCGATCTCTGACACGAGGCGCGACGTCGTTGGGCGTTTACCCTTCGAAATCGAGGAGGCAAGAGTCGTATACCCACCGAACGTGATGGTCAACGCTGGAGTTGACGGGCCGATCGGCAGTCCGCTGGCTCGGGCCGACGAACCGCACGAGCTCGAGTCCGTCAAAGATCGGCACGACGTCGTCCTCGAGCATGCGGTCGATGGCCATGAGAGTCCTGCGCCTCACGCACTCCGAGAGCGTCCGCACAAAGCCGTGAGCCGGTGTCGAGATCTTCGGCTCGACCTTTACCGATCTCACGGGGCAGCCCTGCAAAAGACCCCTGAGACCGGCGAGCCAGGCGCCCCGAGCTGCGGCGCCCCCGATACCGATCACCAGCAACAAGGACAGGACCGTCCGCGCTGACATCCTTGCACGCGCCAAGTACAAGGCCGCGACGCGGCGCCGATCGCTTATATAGTTTCGCGCGGCATCGGCAAAACTGTGCCGTTCAGCGGTAAGCCTCGGTTCGCCGATCGCGCACTGCTAATGACACGTGTGCGTCTGTCCTGGGGACTCTTCGTTTCCTGTCCCCCTACATGTCTCTTGTCCACACACGCATCTCCCTCGGATATACTTACCGATCCTATATGCTCCTCTTTAGCGACTTACTTTTACCAAACGCTCCATCGGCTCGTTGTCGACCATACGTCCTCGCGTAATGGATACACACGCGCATATTATTGTGGGTTTTCTAATTAAGTTGGCCAAGGTTTCACCGGGAGTTATTCGTCCCGTCGTTCATTCGTTTTCATCGATTTACGCTCAAGCGTTGGCCGAAATATCGATCTCTCGAGGGCGGACGAGCAGCGACAGCTAAACATGAAAATCTCGCGCGATCTTATCACCCCGACAACAGACAACCTATTATATCATTCGACCGAGTTTGTGAAAAAAAAAAAAGAAAAGAAAAAAAAGAAAAAAGAAAAAAGACGATTGCCAGTCTCAATAATAATCAACCGTTTCTCCTTTTTTTCCTCGTTACCGAGAGTTACGCGAGTGCGCGCGCGTCGTTTACTTCGGGGGAAAACCACTGCGTTGCGTGTAGATGTATATACACCCATATACATGAATAAGAGGCGAGCCCGAGGACGATTATCGCACATTGGGCAGCGAGAGCTCGCGCGTCAGTTTTTGACAATCGGGGAAGGTATGACGAACGAACGGAGAGGGTACACCGCGGAGGAGGTGGCTCGGAACGACGGCAGGGACGGCTCCAGGGTCTGGGTCATCGTCCACGGAAGCGTCTACGACGTCACGCGCTTCATGGACATTGTGAGGATTATTGTTTTTTTTTTTTTTTGTTTTATAAATAAATCACTTTGTTTTTCCTTTTTTTTTTTTTCTTTTTTTATTCGTTAAAAAAGTTTTTTTTTTTTTTTTTAAACAATCAAATAAAGCATACTTTTCAACTGCTCATTTCATGACAAAAATTATACTTTTGTGCTTAAGTAATAATTTACTTTACGATAAATGTCATAGTAATATTATTTATTTCATACTGCAGTACACTACGAGTGATAGTGATAGAAATGTTAGTTGCTATTTGTAAGAAGGACCGAATCAAAAAAGTGTGAACGATGAAGAGAGTATTAACAACTGAAAGTAGTAGATTTTAAATTTTCTCAAAAATAAAAAAATACGCCTATTTCAGAGAATATTACTATAAGCTTTTTTTTAATAATACACTAAACAGTTTGACGTTTTCTTAACTTTTATAATAATACCGTTTATAATAGCGTTGAGATAAATTTGTGTAATGTGGCTACATGGATTTTTTAGGTTATCAACGAATTCATAAATACAAATCAATATTTATCCATTTTTAATTCATTTTTACAGTACTATTCACATTACAACGTTTTCAGAGCTACCA